CTTGGGAATTTTTTGTATTTCTTTATAAATTCGACCTACTTTGTAGCCCTTCAGTATTTTTAACTAGATAGCAAGAACCCAATGAAACAAACTACCCAAAAACATTGTATTACATTATTTTTTCCAATGTTTTGTGAGCAAAATGATCTTTGATGAAGAACCGGTCTTCTATCGCACCTGTCAGAAAGCTGACGGTTTCTTGGTTGTGGATGCTGACCAGGTGTCCGTTCTGAGCCACACAGAAATTTTCTGCATCTTGCCAGTTCTTGACTGTTTCAGTCTCAAAGTGATAGCAGTGTTCACCGAAGAGCAGATAGCCTTCATCACAGTGTGAGTCTGCAGAAAAACATTCAGTGAACCATAGCAAAAACACAACCCTGACACTTCTACCATGATATTAATTCAACTACTTTTGACATTCTGTTTGTCTGTTCAGACCAATGTGGAAAAACCCTGGCAGACAGGACGAATGAAAATACAAAATCACTCTCTGAAAGTAGACGGCTTCTTCCTATACTATTCACTGTTGCTTTGCAAATTAGCCTGTACATGAGCGCCAACAAGTCGTAGTTTTATGTAACAGCTCTGGCCATGTGACCAAAAGCGTGAATCCTATTGGTTGGCTAGTTTTCTTTTCAGTGTGACGGGAAAGAGATTAGAGCCCTTCTCTGTAAAACCGATGTCATGTGAAAGTTTGTGTCATTCAGAAAACAAGCATTAACAGCTGTTCATTCAGATCAAATGACAGTGTGGGACTTTCTGTAGTTTCACCTGGAGCCGCTGTGGGCTTCACATTCTGTCCTCCAGGCATCTTGCAAATATATCCCAGGTTTTTAAAGCAGTTCGTGGTTTCCCATTTTCCAGCATAGTTTCCTATTACAAGAAAACAAACAAACAGATTCAGCTCCATTTTTTCAAGGAAATCTTTTAAAGCTGACATCGTGTGTCTCTCTGCACCGAGTAACTCAACCGAGAATCTTACCGGTGTAAATCTGACCACAGTCCCACAGGTTTGCTGAGTTCTGAGGGAAATTTGGGCTCCAGTTTGAAAACTCCACTGCAGTTTTGTCCACCCACCTAAATGTGCCATCTTGGTCCTTATCTGTGTTAT